GCTCTGCGTCTTTGTCAACACTTGGTATTTTCAGTGTTTTACACTTCGGCCATTTTGATTGGTATGTAGTAACATTTTGTAGGTGCCTTTTTTTTCTTTGGTGGTTGTTTTTTAGAGAGGAAGGGAGAGGGAGAAACATTGATGTGAGAGTGGACCATCAAATGGCTGCCTCCTGCACGCCCCCTACCGGTGATAAACCTGGGCACATGCCCTGACCGGGAATCGAACCGGCAACCTTTTAGTGCATGGGAGAATGCCCAACCAACTGAGCCACTTTCTATAATGACTAAAGAGCTTGACTAGCTTTTTGTGGGTTTATTGGCCTTTGAATATCCTCTTTTGTGAAACAAGTGCCTATTCACATCTCTTGCCAATCTTTTAATTCGCCACCTTTAAAATTGATGAGTTCTATGTATACTCTAAATACAATATACACAGGAGTATGTACTGGAGATGTCTTCTTGCCTTTTCACTCTCTTCATGGTGTCTTCTAAAGAACACAAAGAACTACTTTTATTGCATGTTTTCCTTTGTGGTTAGTGTTTTGATACTTGTTTAAGAAAATCTTTGCTGACCCCAAGATGCTGAAGATAATCTCCTATGTTATTTTCTGGAAGCGTTAGTTTCACCTTCACATTTAGAGTTGAAATCACCTCTGGACTTGAAGTTTTGTGTGACATGCGAGGTAAGGGTCAGAGCCCCCGCCCCATAGGGCTATTAGCTGACCCAGCAGAACTTGCTGAAAAGATGTCCCTTCCTCACTGTTCTGCGTCACTGGACTGTTATAAATCAAGTGGCCATGCATATGTGGGTCTGTTTCTGGATGTTTAATTCTGTTCCATTTATCTATGTGTCTATCCTTGCGCCAGTACTATACTGCCTTGATTACTTACTGTAGCTTTATGATGAATCTGATTTCTGGTAGTGTAATTCCTCTAAATTTATTTTTCTTCTTATTACAAATGCCTTAGCTATTTTTAATCCTTTGCTTTATTTAACTTAATTCTCACAAAAATCCTATGAGGTGAAGCAGTTATGATTTTTATCTCCATTTCACTGATGGGTAGACTCAGAGAAATTATGCAATTTAATTTGCCCAGGGTCATACAACTGTCAAGTTATAGCTGGGATTAGATATAACTACCAAATTAAATCTGGGATTAGAACCCAGATTTGTTTGATTCGTACCCAAGTATTTAAAGTCCTTCACATACCACTTCCTTAGTCCTGGAGCCAGCTGACAGCAGGGCATTTAATATGAATGCATTACAATTCTAAGAAATTCTAATGTTCTAAGCCACCCATTTCCAGTTAAAATCTTGTTTGGCAGCTACAAAAACCACTTTCCTGGTAGGACTAAGAAAACAAAGCAACAAGAAGTGAAAGCTTCTTGGGTGTCTTCCACAGCCCTACGTCTCCAGAATAACAATCACTCCTCACATGGGCTCACAGGTCCCCCAGGCCTGGCTCCCTCCACCTCTCCAGCCTTCACCACCCGGCTCCTCTGCCTCTGGACTCCCAAGCCAGGCTCAACTACCTGCACTTCCTAGTAGCCCAGGTTTTCCACATGGCTGCACCTTGCCCGCCCCTGGCTACTTCCTCATTTTTCTTTAAATCCTGGGTATCACTTCCCTTGGGAAGCCTTCCAGAACCTCATGTGGGTTGGGCAGTCCTCCTCCTCTCTGTCCCCTCTCCTAGCATGTCACACTGTCCTACAGTCCAGCTGTCTGCTTCTCCAACCAGACTGTGAGGCACATAAGCTGGGCTGGCTAACAGAACAGATGTTTGCAACAAAGTCCTGAGAGAGATCTGAGATCGACTTTTGTGCTAGGTGCTATAATTTTTTTTCCCTTTACTGATTTTAGAGAGAGAGAAAGGGTGAGAGAGAGAGAGAGATAGAAACATCGATGAGAGAAAAACATCGATTGGCTGCCTCCTACATGCTCCCCATTGGGGATCAGGCCCACAACCTGGGCATGTGTCCTGGACGGGACCTCCTGGTGCATGGGTCGACGCTCAACCACTGAACTAGGTGCTATAATTAAATAATCAACTCCAGGAGGAGGCCCGAGAGAAATGGTTTCTAACACATCCAGGATGCACACTTTGGGAGAAGTGGCAAACTAGAGGGCTTGGGGGAGATGGAAATAGCTTCTGTGATGGACTTGGGCTTTCAGCTGAGCTAGAAATAGGACTGACAGAAGGTTCCGGTATTAAATGGTTACATATAGCAAGGCAAGCTGTGACTCATTAAAAGGCTTCAGAAGAAGTAAAACATTCCCACGAAGTACACAAGCTAACAACAAGGCAGGCTCTTCTGTATGTATCCATTCAATAAACGGGGAGTCTGGTTTTGAGGGCAGCTTTTCTCTCCCTCACCAATTTTGAAAGCAACAGTTTAAGAGTAGGCAGGGGCAGGCATATTTTAGAAAAGGAGAAGTCTCTCCAATGGGGTCATTTTCCAGAAAGTGAGACATGACACTCCCACTTGGAGAAGAGAGACCTCCTCGGGCCCTCCCAGCTGTGGCCTCAGGCTGCTCGAGCGCGCCAGTCCTCGGTGCCGCAGCCATGCAGCCTAGACCGTGCTCTTTGAGAACTTCCAGGCTTTTCTCATTAAAAATATAAGCTTTATTTTCAAAAACAGCTTTCACAGGAGCACCAAGCTAGCTGACCCCTTTCACCACCAGCAAAATGGAGTAAAGGAAAAACTCTAAGGCATCCAACCCAGGCTCTCCGTATTTTTCCAGTTAATCCCATTTTAGAGAAGGGAGTGAAAGCCTCTCGGAGAAGGGAAAACGACTCTGGGCCCCACATTCTTCCTGGTTTTCTCTGCGGGCTTAGCTGTTCACAAAACAAGGGCTTACTTTTCCTTCTTTTAGAAATTCAGAATCTAGGACATTGAGGGGTTGTGGATGTTTTGGAGGAAAGATCATCTCCTGGTATGTGGAATACTCTTAATTGGCTATTTTATTCAAAAACTGGGGAGTGGGGGGAGGCGGGGGGGTGTTGACATTTGTCCAGCTTTGGCGAGTTAAGAAAATCTTCAAATAAGAAAAGCTTACCTCCAACTTATGCCTTATGTTAAAATACGTTTCCAAAAAAGAAATGTCAGAGAGTAGGCACTCATGCTAAAAGCAGAGCTTGTGATCCAACCCCCCTCCTACCTTTCCTAGAAAGGACTGCTACATGGGTTGCAAATATGAATGACTGATTTTCTGCCCAGATATGAATGTCTATTCACAACATTTTCCTATTTATGCGGGGAAGCAGCCGCCGGGAAGAACAAACAAAAAGTTGACTGGGAATTCACAAAGCTCCATTGTTCTGTGATGGTTTCTCTATGCATTGCTACATGGGAGCTCCAAGACAGTACGGTCATTTGTGATGTCGCACATGACTGCATGGCACACAGCACTTCCGTGGCACATGGTCTGAGCTCAGTGTCATTTGATGGCTAGGAGACCATCCTGAAGATTCTCTTGGAGTTCAGCAGACCCTGTCAGATGCTGGCAGGTGGAGCCAAGTTTGTGTTAATAAAACGAACTCCAGAAGCTGAGCCTGTAGAGCCCAGGTGGGCTAGATATTTGCAAAAAGAGATCAGGGACTGACTGACAGCGCCAGTTGTAAAAAGCATCTTTTGAGCTGAGCGACAAGTTGCTACAGGGTGCCAGCAACAACCTCACCCCTTAGCAAACAAAGGAGATGACGCAAAAAAAAACAACCCTGACCCACACGATCCACTATTGCTTTTTGATTTAGAGAAAAAAATTGGTAACTCCAGCTGCCGGGACAAAAATGACTTTCTGAGAAGCTAGAAGTCCTGATCAGAAAGGACTCTGGGGGATTATGGCAGGGAAGGAAAGTTTTCAGGGGTCAGCTTGGCTTGTGTGAGGGACCCACACCAAAGAGAAACAGGACAACTGCCTCAGTGGCTCCTTAACATGGAAAGTGCAGAGCATGTTCCAAAGACAGGGTTACTGTTTAAGGACAAAGGGACCTTTGTGTACATTCTTAGTGAAAAGCTCATTTTAAGGATTTAAGGTTTGCTGAAATCCCAGTTTTTTCCCCATTTGTTTTCAAAGGAGGAATGCCCTTCAAATAGAGTACATGAGAAATTACATTATCCCTAATTTTCAGGGGTATATATCATATACAGACAGAGTAATTTCAGACTTGCAAACCATATTGCATAGGAAGAATAACATTGATTTTTTTCAGTGATGGAGATTCTTTTCTCTATAATTTAATATATTTTCCAAGTTTTGAACTATGGGCCAAGGGTTCTCTGTTCTGCCTGAAGACCAAACCAGAACCACATCCATGACTCCTGAGTTTGTATCCCTGCTGTCACCTCTCCTTGCTGAAGTCAAGTATGAGAAACCCACTCTTTGTTGAAGGAGAAAGGATATAAAAAGAAAGATAACTGAGCAAATCCTGTGGCTACAAACTATGAAGTCTTTTGCTTCCTAAGAGATCGATTCCATCCTCCTCCTTCTAGAGCTTTTCTAATTGTAAGTGTTTAAATGTGAGATGGTGTTAGATCCAAGTTGAACGGGGGTTTTGTAAAATACTAAATGATGATCAGACAGAGGAATAAGAAGGCTTGTTAAAAGCACATTCAGCAGAATGCTGAGATATACCAGATCCTCCTGCAAACAGCATGGATTACATTAACAGGACTCCCCGGGTCTTATTCCCAACTCTCTTTGCCTACCTTAAGCTCACCCCATGGTTATATAACCTTTAGAATGGAATTTGGGAATTCTTCTGACCCTACCCTGCTTGCTGATAGAGCTGAGCCAGTGGCTGGCAGGGGCATAATCTAATAGGCGAAACGGAAACACACAAATTCACAGTCCTCTTGTCTCGGCCCAGAGACTGTGCCGGCAAGGAAAGAAAGACTCGCCCTGTCTCCCTCCTCCCCTTCTCTGGCCTAAGTTTACGCTGACTTCACCCAACAGGCACCTGACCCTCCCAGATGAGCTGGGAGGGGCTAAAGCGCCATGTACATGGGGTGGAGGTGCAGGCAGCAAACGATATTTAAGATGCTGAGTTTGTCGAGTGTTTAGGCTTGGGAAGGAAAGCTATAGGATAGATACCAATTAAACTGCGCTTTCAGAAACTCAAGCTTTGACAAAAGCGAAGAAAGAGCCAGGAAAGAGAAAACAGAGTGGTGAGCCCTCAAGGGTGTGAATGTGAGGTTATAACTGCTACAGCTCTGCAAACCTCAGCCAGCAGATTCAGATTTCCCACAGGAAGAGCCTTCCTCACCCAGGCCCATGAAAGATGCTGAAAAAGACTCTCTCAGCTGTGACCTGGCTCTGCATTTTCATTCTGGCCTTTGTCAGCCACCCAGCGTGGCCACAGAAACCCCCTAAGCGCAAGACACCTGCACAGCTCAAAGCGGCCGCCTGCTGTGAGGAGGTGAAGGAGCTCAAGGCCCAGTTTGCCAACCTAAGCAGTCTGCTGAGTGAACTGAGCAAGAAGCAGGAGAAGGACTGGGTCAGCGTGGTCATGCAGGTGATGGAACTGGAGAGCAGCACCAAGCGTATGGAGTCGCGGCTCACAGAGGCCGAGAGCAAGTACTCCGAGATGAACAACCAGATTGACATCATGCAGCTGCAGGCAGCGCAGACGGTCACGCAGACCTCGGCAGGTAAGGAGCACATGTCCTCCTGTTCTGACTGCCTTGCCCTCAGCTAACCCAGTGTCTCCTGTCTGTAGCTATGCCTCTAGATAACCTGATCATCAGGACAATTACTGGGGGCTCTTTAGGGCTATACTTTCTTGGGTACATGCTACAGCTCTATTTTCACTTTACTAAAGGCTCACAGAGGATTTCTTTTGCTTTTTAATGTTCTGTAAATTTACCCAGTACCTTCACAGATGTCTTTTATTCACACAATGTTTCAGCACACTGAAGGTATGAATTACCATCTTGGAGCACAGAGAGATTACATGGTTTGCCCAAAGTCACACAGCAAGTCTTAGAAAGAGGGTTCAGGTTTCCTGACTGGTGTCCCTCCTTACCCAGAGCTGACCGGCTGTACCCTCAGTCCCAAGGAAGCAGGAGCAAACACCAAAACCATAGCATCTATTGGTGCTGGAAGCAAAGTTTTGCCAAAAACAGTTCTCTCATGTCTCTAACACTTAGTAGAATGGGCAGAAATAGAATTCTGTATCCTCTCTGCAAACCTCGCTCTTCTTGCTGGCTCACAATGAAGTGTATGGACACTGCCTAGAGCCACCCGAATAATTCCGAGTGTTCAGGAAAGGGTAGGCTGCTCAAAGTTCCTCATTCTGATATTTCTATTTCTTCCCATGATCGCAAATAAAATTCTTCTTAATAATACAGGAAATAAGAAAATGTAATGCTGAAATTTGGATATTTAGGAGGTGAAAAATAAGACACACTTAATATTTCCTTTTGCAAAATAACTCTGTTTCTGATTAGCTTGGCTCAGATGGACCAAGGGATTTATAAGAGAGAAATCTGGTTTTCCAAAGTTTCAGGAAATTAATAAGGAGCATAAGATATGCCATTTCTTGCTGATATAATAAAAACTTTATGGTCATACTATAAACTAAGTCAAGAACAAAGACTAAATTACTGGTTAGCCTCAGTTCAAATAAAAAGTCTTAACATGAAATTAAACTTAAAAGTTCTGTTATCTAAACCAACTTGTATAAATTACTTCTAAGCCTGTGCTTCCTGCCCCTCAGTTTGGGACTAGAAAGGTATTCTCAGGCCATTTTCCAGACATGGGAGTCCTGATTTGGTCTGTGAGATGACACCGGACACGCACAGACCAGGTCAGACAGGTGAACCTGACTGTGCCCCGTTCTGCTCCTGACTCCCAGGGTTTTCTGACTCCCAACCAGGAGTTTCTTGGAGACAAAAGCAGCTCTCTTGCTGGGCCTCTTACTCTTCTTGCCCAGAAAAACAGTCCTTATTTTTCTTCTCTATTACCAGGCACTGGGTCACCTTTCTACTCTGTAGACAGGTAGCCCCTTGGAGAAAGCGGTAAGTTGTTGATGCTTTCATCGGTAACAGAAAGTGAAGAACTCTACTGGTCACAGGCAAGCCTTTCCCCTCCCCGACGTGCTCTGCCTCAGACAGTCCCCATGGTGAAGTGTTACTACCAGCCATCTATGCAGGCCCAGTGCAATGGCCACCAAGAGAAGCTTCCAAGACACAGAGGGCAGAAGAGCCTCTGGTCAGCGCGAATTCCCGCTGCCTGAATTCTATCAGAAAAGACTGTCCCTTCCACAATGTCTTCAATATTTAGAACAAGCAGATAAATCTGGGATAAAGCAGTAGCCCCTAGGGCAGCTGGGAAAACATTTCAATCAACCCCAGAGTTAAAACCAGCCTGTCCAATGCTCTCACCTTCTTGTTCTAATAATCGTGCCACGTGTGGCCTCCAAGGGTGCCTCAGAGTGCATCTGCATGTGTCTAGCAGTGTGAGACTAAGGAGGGAAAGGTAAGGTTGTATATCTATATCCCTTAATTAGGGCTCTAGTAGCCATTACCTCTGACAATGAAACCAACCAAACAAGCAAACCAAGAAATAACACAAAACTAGACTCCATGAGATAGTCATGGTTACCTGCTAACAGAGGCTGGCTGTCCCAGAAGCTGGATCTGTTAGAGCATCTGCTATGTGACCCCCATCCTCTGTAATAATTCCAGAATTCTTGGCCTAGAACTACTGCAGGATAATTTATTTCACAGTGAACCTGAAATCACCTGTTTCATTATTCCATTGATGCTTTCCAGGTAAACAGCTTCCTCCACCCCTCAGTCCCACTACCAGGGAAGCCAAAATACAACTAGCTCTTGGTCTCCCACATCCAGACACTGCTTAGTAATGAACACTTGTGAATTCCATGGTAGAAATGAAGTCTTTGCTTAAACTTTCTATTTCTATGCAGCAGGAAGGCCTGGTTGCCAGGGAGCCCAGGCTTGCATGATCACTATGGCCTGTCCCTTTTGTAGATGCCATCTACGACTGCTCATCCCTCTACCAGAAGAACTACCGCATCTCTGGGGTGTACAAGCTTCCTCCTGATGACTTCCTGGGCAGCCCTGAGCTGGAGGTGAGGCCATCACCACCCATGTTCTACCTGTTCTCCATGCCCTCAAATGGACAGCAGCGCTAGTCAGGGCCTAACAAAAAACTCAAGACAGAAACAAATACACCAAATACCAGAGAGCTAGCCAAACATTCAATTTATGGGGGGAAAATCCAGGAATCTGTTTTGCCCCTTCAAATCATTATCAACCAAAGACCAACCTTTTAACATAGGTTAGATAATTCTAGAACCACAACCTAACTAGCTAACTCTCTTACCACGTCATAGAGTAGCTAGTCTTTGGGGGAGGAGAAAAAAGAGACCATGGAGGGAGCCTATCAGGAGTACCTGGAGTTTTCCCTTCAAACCCATTTGTACTTACTTGCCCCCATCCTCAATTCTGATGTCTTCCTCCGCAAACCACCCCCGCCCCAGCTCACCCACACTGGGGCGGAATCGTGCCCTAGTGAGCCTGCGTGACTATGGAAGTGCACACAACTCTGGCTCTGTGGGGATGGGAGAAGGAAGGTGAAGCCCACCCCAGGCTCCTGTCTCTGTGGGTCCTTGACCAGAGCATCCTCTCTGTTCCAGGTTTTCTGTGACATGGAGACAGCAGGTGGCGGCTGGACCATCATTCAGAGACGGAAGAGTGGCCTCATCTCCTTCTTCCGGGACTGGAAGCAGTACAAGCAGGGCTTTGGCAACATCCGTGGGGACTTCTGGCTGGGGAATGAACACATCCACCGGCTCTCCAGACGGCCAACACGGCTACACGTGGAGATGGAGGTGAGCACAAGGCCTGGGTCCCCCAGGACTGGACCAGGCCACCATGCATGGCTGCACAACTCTGGGGTGCCCTTCCTACTCTTACTCCCTTTAGGCTTGTGTAGCTACTACGACGGTGTTCCTTCAGGTTGCAGTGCAGTTGAGAAAGAAAAGGTTCGTTCCTATTTTTCAGAAAAGTGAGGCTGCAGGTGCACAGGAAGAGGCCAAACTCAGGCCAGAGCAGAGTCATCCCACAGTCAGCGATCTGGGGCACAAGGTCCTCCATGTGCAAACCTTATTGACACTGGTTGGTGACCCTCATCAAAGGCTTAGAAGCACCACTATGTTCTCAAATGACATCTCTAAGTGGGATACTGTAAAAACACACATCTACACCTTCCGGACAGAGAAGTGAGGGAATACAGAGAGACTAATCAAGGCCGTATGGTGCCTCAGGAGAGCAGTTTGGTCTAGGACCCTTGTTTTCTGATTCCCAGGTGTAGAGGTAAATAAGTAACAAGGCTTACTCAATTCCCAGCATAGAAAGATGTATGGCTGCGGCTGGAGACAGAAGAGGTACAGGGTGGGATGAAATGACACCTGCTGCAGTCTTTCTCAGGCCCTGCCTCCTCCGACAGGACTGGGAGGGCAACGTGCGCTACGCCGAGTACAGCCACTTTGTTCTGGGCAATGAATTGAACAGCTACCGCCTCTTTCTGGGGAACTACAGTGGCGACGTGGGGAATGACGCCCTCATCTATCATAACAACACAGCCTTCAGCACCAAGGACAAGGATAATGACAACTGCTTAGACAAGTGTGCGCAGCTCCGCAAAGGTGAGATTTGAGGTGGGGGAAGTTCAGGTATAAACCCACAGTCCCACTTGAAGAGAAAGCATGAGTTGTAACTGCATGGCTGATATCCTGGCTTTGGCATCTCCTTTTATGTAGACTCTGATTGCTTAGCTACTACTAGTCTAACAGCCATTTCCAAGGTAGGATAGACCCCGCCCGCTAGCGCTGATCTGTTTCTTGCGCCAGGTGGATACTGGTACAACTGCTGCACAGACTCCAACCTCAATGGGGTCTTCTACCGCCTCGGGGAGCACCACAAGCACCTGGACGGCATCACCTGGTACGGCTGGCATGGCTCTACCTACTCCCTCAAACGGGTGGAGATGAAAATCCGCCCAGAAGACTTCCAGCCCTAAAAGGAGGCCTGCTGTGGAGCAGGGCTGGTGAAATGGAGACAAATGGAGGCTGGGCAGGGCAGAGGAGGACAGGAAGAAAGGACAGAAAGGGTATGGATGGAAAGTGGCCTATAGTCTCCAGTGAGCGAGTAAGTCTCTGAGGAGCACAATACAGTGATACGTATCCAGGATGTTACAGGAAGCGGGATGGGGCATTTGAACACAGTGGGTCCCAACATGTACTTCTCAGGGGGCTGGCCTGAGTGGGCTCTCGTGGCCGTGATCCCTGACATACAGCAGCTTCTTTCTTCCACATGATTTTTCTATGAAAAAAATAATTGTGAGATGACTTTATCCATTAAGGTTATGTAAGGGCACAAAACAAGTCCCTAAATATGGTTCCCTAAAAAGAACCATATATTTTGATTCTCGATGAGAGGACTTGGGTGTTAGAGAAAGGAGTGAAAGGAGGGAATGGAAAAGAGGACTTTCTATTTTTAAATCCAATGAAAAATTACCTTCATTCAGTCTACATTTTTTTTTAAAGACAGTAACTGCTCTGCTGGAGGTGAGCTAACCCTGGTTGGACTTGATTGGAGGAAACTCCAGGCCTTGCAACTGGCCCCTGAGCGCCTCAGACAAGGCGCAGCACTGACAGCAGGACGGGTCTGGTGGGGGCCAGGGAGCTGCAGTGGGAGGGGGAAGCGCCTCGTGGATGCCTGCACGACACTGCCTGAAACTGTCCACCCTCTACAGATATATCTATTTTTATTTACTTTTTAAGAGCTTGAAGAACTTCCTCTTTTGTCTATAAAAACTGGCTGAAAAATGAAGGTAGATGGCACTATGGTTAATAACTCATGCTGCTTCTAAGCATTTTTGCTTTGTAAAAATAAAATATAGATTGTTTTAAATGTTCAAAGTTTCCTTTTTCCTTCTACAGTCAACTTTTAACACCTGTTCGTTTTTAAATGATCACCATCACCACTTAGAGCATGGTAAGAAAAAAAAACTTAAGTAAAAAATCAGAAGGTGAATGAGAAACAGCTCTGAATCTGGTGGTTTTCAGGAAAGCCATGGGATGAGCAGGAGGCCAAAAATAAAAAGGTGAGTGACTTTTAAAAAGGGCAGCAGTCACTAGAAGAGGTTGGATCTGGCCTACCCACCTAACCCCCATGGAGGCCAATACCATCACTTGGCTTCAAAATACTTTGCAAACTACTTTCTACTTGAGCAAACTAATACATAACAGATGACAAATGATTTTGGCCTTTAGAAAGTCATTTTTCCTTGCCAAAAAGAACCACTTCCTGAAACACTCAGTGTGCGGTAAGCCACGATTCTTACTCAGTATTTCAAAACTGTATCTACAGTCCTTTGATGGTTGGGCACCTCCTTAACCTTACAAACAATAACCTTGGGGATTTTCAAAGAAATAAACTAGTAGAGAAGATGTACACTGGAGTACATGGGCCTCCCATGGGACAGGCACTCAAACAGAAACCTCCTAAGGCAAGCAAGGGAATCTGAGACACTTAGCAGCCAGCACAATACTTGTAGAAAAGAGGATAAAAAGATCAGGAGATAAGAGAAAGAAGAGCCTAAGATGCCTATGGCAGAAGTATCTGATGATTTTCTCTTTTCATTTCCCATACACCCCACAACTAAAACAAAACTAAGGCTCTTCGCAACAAAAGCTCAAATGAACAGGTAGGACTACTCAAACTACAAAGTTTCTGCACAGCAAAGGAAATAATCAATAAATTGAATAGAAAACCTACAGAATGGGAGAAAAGATTTGAAAACTTTAACTCCTAGTAAGGGGTTAATATCCAAAATATAGAGAATTCATACAACTCAATAGCAAACAAGCAAATAATCCAACTAAAAACTGGGCAAAGGAAATGAATAGACATTTTCCCAAAGCAGACATCCAAATGGCCAATAAGCTCACCACTAATCGTAAAAAACACAATTATCACCTCACACCTCACATCTGGCAGGGTGGCTGTTATAAAAGAGACAATAAATAGCAAGTGTTGGTGGATGCAAAGGAAGGGAGTCCTTGTGTAAACTGCTGCAGCCACTATGGAAGATAGTATAAAGGTTCCTCAAAAAACTAAAAAATAGAACTACCATATGATTCAGAAATACCATTTCTGGACATATATCTGAAGGAAATGAAATCACTGTCTCAAAGAGGTATCTGCACCCATGTTCAATGCAGTATTATTTACAATAGCCAAGATACGAAAACAACCTAACTGTCCTTCAACAGATGAATGGATAAAGAAAAGGCATACATACACACATACACATACACACACACGAATACTATTTAGCCATAAAAAGAAAGAAACTTTGTTTTGTAGTTTGTAGGTAGGACTTCCATTCAGCTTGATTTCAGGCAGTTCTGAATGATGGTTGTTCTGTAGTTTGGAGGGCATTATGCTAAGTGAAATAAGACAGAGACAAAGACAGACAGATATTACATGGTATCACTTATGTGAAATCTAAAACAAAAAGCTGATTTCACAGAAACAGAGAAGAAATGGTGGGTGCCAGGACATGGGGGATAAGGAAACAGGGAGGTATAGGTCAAAGGGTACAAACTTTTAATTATAAGTAAGTTCTGAGGATCCAATTGTATAGCATGGTGACTTACAGTACCGTATATTGTATATTTGAAATTTGCTGAGAGTATATTTTAAGCGTTCTCACCACACACACACACACACACACACACACACAGAATGAGCTATCTGAGGGGATGTAGTATCTTGACTTTGGTAATCATTCCATAATGTTTATCACATCATTATACTTTATACTTTAAATATAGTTACACTTGTCAATTACTCTTCAATAAAGTTTGGGGGGGGGGCATCTATATTGTGTTTATCAAAACTTACAGTTGCTGACTTCCGTCAAGGTAGCGGGTAGGTAAAAGTGGTATCATGTCCTCCCACAACCACATCAAAGTTACAACCAAACTACAGAACAACCATCATTCAGAACTGCCTGAAATCAAGCTGAATGGAAGTCCTACAACTACAAAATTAAAGCAGTAGCCACATGGAGACTGGTAGGAGGGTTGGAGGCGGACAGGCTGGTCCCAGACCCACGTGTGGCGGGTAAAAATCAGGAGGATACTTCGGCTGGGAAGGTCCTCCCTGAGGACTGAGGGGTCCCCGTCCCACACCAGGTGCCCCGCTCAGGGTTCCTGTGCCAGGAAGAGAATCCCCATCACTTCTAGTTGGAAAAACCAGCAAGAACTGAGGCTCAGGGAGGCTGAGGTGGCTGAAGCCCAGGCAGCTCCTCTTAAAGGGCCCGTGCACGGACTTACTTGGACAAGCACCCTCCAGGATCCAGCATTGGGGAGGCAGCTTGAAAGGCACCAGAGACATATGAGAAAGAACTGAGTTGTTTGACATTGGAGCAAGGGCTGGGAGGTGGCTTTCTCCTGGACAGATGTGCTGTCAGAGGCCTTTGTTCCTTTGGTGAGCCCTTCCCTGGGGCGGCAAACAGCCGCTATATCTGGAACTCCAGCAACCTGGCTCACACTGTTTGCCCCGTCCTGGTGATTCCCTGAGGACCCGTCTCATCCAACTTTCAGGCCCACCCAAGCTGTTGCCAGTTGCTTTACCACAGGATTAGCCTGTCTTGGATCCTGCTTCAGGTTTTCCTAAATTCTATCCAATAAGCAGCATCTGGTCTCAGCTAGCCCCATAGCTCTCGCTAAGTAATACACAGAAACAAACACAGGGAGGCAGCCAAAATGAGGAGACAAAGAAACAGGTTCCAAATGAAAGAACAAAACAAAACTCCAGGAAAAGAACTAAGCGAAATGGAGATAAGCAACCTAACAATGCAGAGTTCAAAATACTGCTTATAAGGATGCTCAATGAACTTAGTGAGGGCCTCGAGAGCATAAAAAAGGAGCAGTCAGAAATGAAGGAGGCACTAACTGAAATAAAGAATAATCTACACAGATTCAATAGTAGAGTACGTAAAGCCAAGAAGCGAACCATCGATTTGGAATATAAGGAAGCAAAAAACACCCAATCAGAACAGCAGAAAGAAAAAAGAATAAAAAAAAAAATGAGGATAGTGTAAGGAGCCTCTGGGACAATTTCAAGCATACCAACATTCGCATCTTGGGGGTGCCTGAAGGAGAAGAGAGAGAACAAGAAATCGAAAACCTATTTGAAACAATAATGGCAGAAAACTTCCCTAACTTGGTGAAGGAAACAGACATACAAGTCCAGGAAGCACAGAGTTCCAAACAAGATGAACCCCAAGAGGCCCACACCAAGACATATCATCATCAAAATGCAAAAAGTTCAAGACAAATAAAGAATCTTAAAAGCAGCAAGAGAAAAGCAGTTAGTTACCTACAAAGGCATTCTCATAAGACTGTCAGCTGATTTCTCAAAAGAAACTTTGCAGGCCAGAAGGGAGTGGCAAGAAATATTCAGAGTGATGAAAAGCAAGAACCTACAACCAAGATTACTCTATCCTGCAAAGCTGTCATTTAGAATTGATGGCCATATAAAGAGTCTCCCAGACAAGAAAAAACTAAAGGAGTTCATCACCACCAAACCATTATTATACGAAATGTTGAAGGGTCTTCTTGAAGAAAAATATAAAAAATATAAACAAACAAAATGGCGATGAATACTTATCTATCGACAATTGAATCTACAAACAAAATGAACAGGCAGAACAGAAGCATTCTCATAGATACAGAGAACAATTTGTTGGTTGCCAGATGGGAGGGGGTTGGGGGAATGGGTGAAAAAGGTGAAGGAATTAAGAAGTACAGATTGGTTGTTAGACTGACAAACCTCAAAGGGAAGGGGGTTGGGGGGTAGGAAGAGATAAACCAAAGAACTTATATGCATATATGCATAACCAATAGACACAGACACCAGTGTGGGGAAAGGCAGGAGGGGGGTGGGAGTGGGGAGGAGGGGGTCAATAGGGGAAAAATGAGGAACATCTGTAATACATTCAACAAT